CTAATCATTATTATGTATATAGGTAAAGAAAAATTTTAAAATCTATTTATTTATTATATTTACTTTTAAAATAAATGTTTTTACTATAAGCAACATACCTAAATGATCAAGAATCTGTAAATATTCATAATAATGTAATATTTGGACATTTATTTCTGCTTATACTTGCAATTTGACATGTCAAACAAAATTTTACACATATGAACATAAAGGCAAAATTTGACTTTGAGTGTCAGATTATTTTCGGTTTTATTAAATTATATCTCAAATTTGGTGGTGGTTGCTACACAGCAAGGGTATCAAACAAGGGTGTGAAGCAGTGTTTAAATTTCAATCAGGGAGTGTCACGTTACACGAGATTTCTATGTCCACGGAAATATTTATTTCAATTAGTTTGTCATACACAAAATAAATAAAAATTAATATCATTTAAAAAATCCAGGAATAAATTATTATTAAATAATTTTTTACTAAAATTAATAACTAACTAATTTTTTCAAATTTATTAAAATGTCAAACCAGCAATTAATCAAATTTTCTAGTGAAATTTCAAATATTCCAATGGAAGTTGAAATCATTGATTTGTCTGATGATCAAGATATAGAAAAACTTAAAAGACAACATATTAGAAAAACTGTTGATCCCAAGTCTTATACCTCTTTCCAATGCTCATGCAGAAAGAATATTTTCCCAAATGAAATTAATTAAAAACAATTTGAGAAATAAAATGCATTTAAATACATTAGATGACCACTTAATGATTTTATTAAATGGTCCAAAAATTGAAGATTTTGATTTCTTGGAACTGGAAAAGTAAAAAACCAAGGAGAAATAATTAATTTCTTTATTTGTAAAATAATAAATTTAGTATATATTTTTTTTAAAAAAATAAATGTGCACACAGTCTGTGTAACGTGACACGCCCTGATTGAAATTTAAACACTGGTGTGAAGACACTCGATTATAAAATTTTACTATGTAAATTTGAATTTTACTATATGCAGATTATCCAAATTTTACTATGTTTTACAACCTCCTATAGATCGGCGGGAAATGTTCTGTGATTGCTTGACTAATAGTAAAAAAAATCGGATCCAATTCTCGGTTCGTTATAGAGTGTAGACCGTTATAGAAAAGGTGAAAATTTTCAACACCCGATTAACCGAGGTAATTGGCGAATAATCGGTAAATATACCCTTTTGTTTTAACTTCCAAAGATCGTCAATTTTATGTCGTTTATAGAAATAAATTTTTTTTTAAATAAAAGATCAGACAGACTAAAGCAGTTTAGTTGTAATTGTAGCAATTATATTTTTATCGCGTATTTGGATAAATTGGAAAATATCTTTTACATTTGGAGGAAAAAAATATATAAAATATGACTGAGGGGAACAACGATGATGACGACAACAACAACAACAACGATAATAAATTAAATAAACAGTCTTTAGAGACAACAGTTGATACTACTATAGTCAAGGAGCCAGCTGAAGCAACGACATGTACAACTGGCACAACTACTACTGAAACAACAACAACAACAACAACAACAACAACTGAAGAAGTAGTAGGAATAGAAAATGGAAAAGCACCTGAGCTAACAACATGCAATAATTGTGGGAAACCGGCTCAATATTTATGTATGGCTTGTGGTCAAATTGGACCTCGTTACTGCTCAGAAAATTGTCAAACTGAAGATTGGACCAAAGGTCATTCTAATGTTTGTAAAAAGACAATAGAGTCGTCATCGTCGCCAGTAGTTACTGAACATGAGGGAAACAACATTGTTGTAAAAAGAAGTAATAGTCTTAATAGGACTTTTACAAGAGGAAATGCTGCACAGATCATTAATGCTAAAAGTATATTTTCTTATATATATATATGTGTGTGTTTTATTTTCAATCAAAATTAAAATTTAAATTTATTAAATGCACAAATATATATATGCACACACATAGAAAGAAAAGGAAGTCGGCAAAATAATGTAATTGATGTCTTCAATGAATAGAATAAACTTTATGATTTTAAAATTAGTTTTACTAATCATTAAAACAAATTAAAAAATTATGCTTAGTCTTCGGCTGTCGCTACTTCTGATATTGCTGGTGTTACTACTGCTGATGACCAATCTATCACAGGATCTCTACCTTTTGATGAAGATCAGATAGAAGAAATTAAATATTATATTGAACAAGTATATAGAATTATTAAGCCTGTGGTATGTTGTATTGTTTTATCGGTACTTTGGGTTAAGATATCATTGGAAACACCTGAATTTCGGTGAGGTGTTGCAACAAATTTTTTTTCAATTTTTCCAATTTTAGTAAGAAAATTATTTAATATTGTGTTGAAAATTTTTTTTTGTAGTGTTCAACATGGAGCAGAAAAGGTTTTTAATACACCATCAGATGCTTCAGAAACCACACTAATATTTAGTGGGTTTGTGACTGCAGCGATTATTATAGCACAGATTATTGTATTCACTATTATTATCGTGTGCCTGTTTAAGCATGGACATGTAAAGGTTTGTTTGATTTGGAGGATTCTAGGTTCTTTACCATTTAAAAAATTTCTTTTGAATGACCAATAATAATTATAATAATTATTATTATTAAAATAGATTCTAATAGGATTTTTTATGGTGGTGGTTCTATTTCTTCTTGCTTTTATGGGTTATATTTTAATATCGTAAGTTTTAATATTATAAATTTTTAAAAGATATTAAATCATGACTTGAATTTTAATTGCAAATTTTTTATTTTATTTATAAAATAAAAACAGGAGTATAATTACAGTTTTTTTCATACCATTAGATTATATTACATTGTCATTTTTATTATGGAATTTTGCAGTAGTGGGTTTAATATCTGTTTTTTGGAAAGGTCCTTTGTTACTTCAACAAATTTATTTGACCATCATGTCAAGTTTAATGGTAATGTATATTATTATTTTGGTATTATTTTTATTTTTATTGTTAATAATATTACAATAATAATTGATTTTATTGTTATATCAAAAAACAATTTTAATTTTAGGCATTTTCATTGACAAGTTTATCAGAATGGGCAACATGGATTTTATTAGGATTACTTGCAATTTGGGGTAAATCAATTACTTTTGTGATGATATTCTTTATTCCTTGCATATTATTTATTAATTATAGTTGTTATTGATTAGATTTAATTGCTGTGCTATGTCCATTTGGTCCTTTGCGTATGTTGATTGAAAGTTCAAAAAATGATGAACGAGAAATCCCTGCACTATTATATTCTGGTATCAATCATCATTATCAACTATATTGCTATTATTTTACCATAATAACTACTAATACATCTTATACCTATATGAATGTTAATAATTACAGTTAATGCTGTTTGGTTTATGGCATCTCCAGGACTTTCTAACCAGATTAACTTGACTTCGTCACCCTCAAGAACATCATTATCAACACCCAAAATAAAAATGAAGAGTTCAATAGCGTCATTAAGAGATTCATTAGCATCAACATCATCATCATTTCAAACAAGAAATGCACCTAGTTCAGTTGGTGGTGAAGAAATTCCATTATCTGAAAATATAAGGTATAATAATAATGAAAACCCTCATTTAAATTCAAACGATGATGGCAACAATTCACAACCATCATCAATATCACCACCACAACCGCCTCCAGGGCAACAAATAAATCAGGTGGTAGTAAGTGATAATGAAGGCACTGAGGACAAAGACGATGAAGGTAATAAAAGGTTAAATTATCCTTGGATCTAAATAAATAAATTAATTAAAAATGAATTTTTAGATCAAAAAAGCGGACTTAAATTAGGTTTAGGTGATTTCGTATTTTATAGCGTTCTAGTTGCAAGAGCTGGTAAATTTTTATATTTATGATTGGACTATATTATTGATTAATTGAAACAAATGATATAAATGAAATTTTATTTATACACACACACACACACACACACACATATATATACTGTATAATAATGAATTTTAGCAATGAGTGATTGGATCACCACAATAACTTGTTCAGTTGCTGTGCTTACCGTAATTATCCAATTATCCAATTATCCAAATTAATATTTTTATATTCAATAATGATCTTAATAAAATTTTATATATATTTATTTTAGGGACTTAATACAACAATATTTTTGTTATCGATTTATAAAAAAGCACTTCCAGCATTACCAATATCGATTACATTTGGAATGATCTTTTTTTTTGTTGGAAAATTTGTTCTAGTTCCGTATTTACAAAATCTTGGAATTCAATTGATTGCAGTCTAAAAGAATTAGATTATTATATGTTTAATTAATTGGTTTTGTTTTGTATAGAAAAAATTAATGTAATTATTTATAAAATAGAAATCAAATTCAAGATATTTAAATCATAAATCACGTAAACTTTTGACTTAAATATAAAAAAAATTTTTTTGCCAATAATTTCAACTTTGAGGAGCTAGTTTTGCCACACCATTTGGTGTCCAATCCCTAGCATCAATGATAACATCGTTTTTACGCACATGCATCATTTTCAATGAATGATGGTAGAGTCCGCCAATGCATCTTTGAACATTTTTATAGCGAAGATTATTGACACACCCGCTCTAGAAATGACATAAGTGACTAATCTTGTGTCAATTTATTTAAGACCTTGTCTGCAGGCTTAAAGAACAAGGCTATCCTGTCTTTTATCAAGAACTATTGTCAGATATGTGTAGTTGAAGTCACTGCAAAAACAGTTTGCTGATAAATATGTAGGTTGTTACCTGTACTCAGATAAACTTCTTACTCTTCTTTGAACGTAAAAGCAGCTCTGTGCGATCCTTAAGGGTGTCTCTAGGTGTAGAACAGATATAATTTTTTATTTGCACGTGATCACATAAAACATGCTGCTTGTCTTTTGATTTTACACTCCCATTTTCTCCCACTTGCCTCACATGCTTTACACATAGCATATACAAGGTGCACTATATTTTCTGGTTTCTCTGCTAAATCATCCTCTTCACAAAAATACAAATATCTTTATTTTTGAGATCCACATGTCAAATTTACTTTAACAAGTACAATATCATAATTTCCAAATCTTGTTGCTCTTTTTCAGTCAATGCATTTTTGCTAAAAACAAAACATGGCTTTTTGCATGATTTACACCAGATAAAAATCACAAATTTGGTCAGAAACAAACATCTCTTGAGGTGCATATTCTTTTTTATCTTTTCTAGATTGCTTGCTTGGATGATCTTTTTCAATAGTATTGTGCTCTTAAAGTCCCGAAAATGGTCAGAATCTATAAATTTATTTATTAATGTTAATGGATTATTTAATCCATGGTTGTGCAATTTTGCTTTACGAGAAGAATCTTTGTATAATTGAGTTTGTTGTGGCGTACACCTGTACGAGAAAATTTTAGCGTATGTACGTATGTATAATTTTCCGCGGTGATTTTGTAAAATCCTATAATAATAATATTAGGCCATTGATCCTATTACTGTTACTATTACTATAATTAAACGGATTACCAGGTTGTAATGGTATATTTAAATGTGATTTCTAAATTTTTTTTTCTATTATTAATAATGAAATAAAAAAATTACTTCTACATTCTTTTTTAATTATATTATCAATTCAAAATAATTAATAGTATGGTGCGGGTCACTCTAACACATCAAATAACTTTAAAGTTAAATGGGGAAATATTGAATGCTTGTCTGAAAAAAAATAGACGATATTTGATAGCTATTGACTATTCTACAATCCATTCAGATAAACTTTAAATGTCAAATTTGGAAATTTTTACATGTAACATAAAACCACACGGTTTTTTAAAAGCACATAACTCTGAAACCAGTATTTTTTTCTACGATGGATGTAGAACTAGTCAATAGCTATCAAATATTGTCTATTTTTTTCAGATAAGCATTCAATATTTCCCTATCTAGCTTTAAAGTTGATCAATTTTTATTTGGATGTAATCATATCTTCAAACATATACAGTAGTTAATTTCACAATACAGTCAAACCTTTCACAGCGGACCTCACCACAACTTCAGGTGAACACAATGATCAGTGCCTATGGATTACCCCAAATCTTTTACACATTGACTATGGCTGAAGGCAAATGGCCTCACTTGCATCATATCTTGAGCTGTACTGACAATGGAGACGCTTTACCAAGCAATCATCCGTTGTACACATACCTGCACTATCGAAATAGGTTAACAAACATCAGAAATAAATTATGGAAGAATCCTGAATTAGTAAAAGGGAACATTACTTTGAAAGGGATGAGTCCCAAAATTGTGGGACAATTCACACACATGGCTTTGCTTACACAGAAAGAAAGACAAGTGAATTGATCTCTTTGAATACAATCCATGCTAATATCCCTGACCCTGTTACAGAAAAAGGAATTACATGAATTGATCACTAAATTTCAAATACACCATTGTAATCAAATGTGTGGAGGTCAAGGGCCAAATGGAGAGTCATGCTACAAAGGATCCTTTATTAATAAGCAGAAGGCCTTTGATATTCTGTGCAAGAGAATAACAAATATTAATGGTGACAGTACAGTTGTTGCATTTGGTGATGGTAAATTCTCATCAATATCACGTGGGCATGCACCAGGCCCTGTAAAAGAATTTCGCCGAGAGCTTCCTAGACACTGCAAGGTGGTGAACATTGATGAGTTCTGTACTTCCTCAGTCTGTTCTTTGTGTGATGGGTGGTTTTATAAGCATCAAAAATTCTGGTCTGTCAGAGTCTGCAAATCGGTCTGTCTGACACATTGGAATCAAGATGTTAATGCTGCCCGAACATAAGAAACATTTTTTTGCACACAAACACTTATGGAGAGAGACCTGATCTATTTATAAGGGGAGCTTACTGACCTCTCTGCTGCCATTTTAACTGTGGCAGGATATGTCTAACTGGTGGCAGTAGCAGCAATAATGACTTTCTATGAAGCCACAATTAGCTATAGGGAGGATTTGGATCTTCCTGATTTTAGTGTAATAAGGTTTACTTGTTAATAAGAAAAAAAATTAGGGATAAGATTTTGTTCGTTATAACAAAAATTCGTTATAACGAGGTTTGACTGTATATTAAATAAAAAATCTATGCATATATGTATGACAAGAGTAAAATTATGTGATACGGAGAACTTTCAAAAAAAAAAACTTGATTAAAAAAATGTTTGGAGCTTTTAAAACGACCATGGTCACCCTTGGTGGTTTATTATGGTGAAGATAGTTGGTTTTTTTTTAATATAATTAATATGCACACTCTTTTTGCTCTTTAATTTTTAAATATTTTTTCAATCAAGGAAAAATCCATCAAAGATGAGTAGAACTCGTAAAGCAAATGTACGTAAAAGATTAAAAGCTGTTGATAGAGTAATAAGCGTGTTAGTTAAATCAGGTGTAAAATGTAAAGCATTGGTATGTTCTAAAAAAATAAAACTGTCGCTGTTACTACTATTATTATTATAACTATAATATGCTATGTTATGTGTTATTAAATAGGAAGAACTTAAGAAATTACCAAAAGAATCAAAAATGAAACCAAGAGATAAGTATACAGTTTTTAGCAGAACTTCGAAACATTATAGAAAATCATTTCATAAAGTACCAAAGTTCACAAAGGTTACAATGAGAACATCTCCACCTGGATTCTAAAAAGTGCTTTTATTTTAATAAAAATAATTTTTAATTCTTGATAAAAATGGGTTTTGATTTCTTGATAGAGATTGTTTTTTTGACTTCTTAATTAGAAATGTTTAATAAAAAATGGTTTTTTATTTTATAATTATAACATTTAAATAATAGTATGATTGATCTTATTTTTTAAAAACATTCATCAAAACAACAACAAAGGAATGTTCCTATTGCACTAGAAAACAAGAAATAAGAAAATAAAAAGTTAAAATTTAAAATAAAAAGAATCAATTAAAAACGATCAATTGGTTATTTACCATCCTAAACAAAGTGAACTAGTATTACTCTTTTTTTGGGGTTGTTGCTGAATGATAATTGGTTGTGGTTGTGGTGTTGGTTGATAGTACCCTAGTAATTAACAAAAAAAATAATAGTCGCAAATTTTAAATATTTGCAAGATTTGACATATATTTAATAATCGTAATAACTTACCTTGCTGTGCTGGAGGTGGTTGAGTATTATAATAACTAGTATTTTGAGGTTGATAATTTGGTGGTGGTGGTGGTGGTGGATAATAATAACCCTGTTGGGGTTGTTGCGAAGGATATCCTTGATTACTCGTAAATCCTTTATCACTCATTTTTTTAATAATGCAATATTATTTTTTTAAAGAAATATGGAATTTTTTTTTTTATAAATTATTTAAATTATTTAAGAGGATGATATAAATACTTTTTTTTTATATATGAAATGGCTTATCTTGGCAAATTCTTTTTAGAATATAATTGTCGTTGTTATTTTTTATAAATACTATTTTGTTTATGAACGTGATTTTAAAAAAGGATAGCCAAGAAAAAAATTTATTTTTAAATTTGGGGAAGTTTACCCAAATTAACCCAATATACTAGCTTGCCTGGAAGGTGTATTTTTACGGCTAGATCACTGATGATCAATTAAAATAATTTTCCTGAAATAAAAAAAAATTTAGCAATTTATATCAAACAAAATGTCAAAATTCACCACATTCAATTTTCCAGTTTCACCATATGGAAATCTTGATTTCTTTCAAATCGAAGAGTCTTTGGGTAAGTTTGTAACTGTGAAATTAGAAAACGATGAAGTCTTCGAGGGATATTTGTATAATATTGATCCAGTAACTTTTAGTGTATTTTTATTAAAGGTAAAGAAAGGAAAAATAAAAAATTTCACCTTTTTTTTTAGATAATATAAATCTTTTGTTTTTATAAACAGATTAATAAAGAAGATTTGCTAGAAAGTTCAATTCCTTCTAAACACAAAGTTTTGGTCGTAATGCATCACGCCATATCAGATTTTCAAGGTGTGAAATCTTTCTTTAATTTTCCCACGATATTTATCTTGTATAACAATTAACTTTATTGGTGTAAAAAAAGTGAACGAAAAAGAAAACAGATTATCAAAGGAAGTCTTGGATTCGATCGTAACAACTCGAACAGATGATTACGATGTCAATTCAGAATTGATACAGAAAAGAAAAGAAGCCTTGATTAATTTATTTGAATCGGTTAGTGATTTTTAAAAAATCTATGAATATTTTCATACTTTTTTTGACTTTTTCTCTTTTATTTTCTAAAAAAAAATCATAGCAACGATTACAGATAACATACGATAAAGATGATCCAATAATTCATGTAATGAATAGAGCAAACGTTTTGCCACCATACGTAACATCGTCTATCGAATGTGATAATGAGATTATTCTAGAAAGGATAAAAATCATGATGAAAAATTTACCTTCAATAAATTTTTAAATTTTTTTTAAACAATGTATGTTGTGGCAATATGGAGACACAAAAGAAGGGAGTTTTTCTTTGTGTACTATGAATCCACATTCATTTTAATATATATCACAGATTATTTTTTTTTTCTTTCTTTTCAAGCAAAACGCTCAAAAGAAAGATTTGTTTTCATCCTTGATATGAAATATCTAGAAAATTGCATGCTGTGATAATTTTTTTTCAAAAAAAAGTAAAAATGTTAATCATTTTATTATATATATACAAGATTTTTTCTGGTGATCAGATTATCTGATTGATCATCAACTGAAAATGGAATCGAACAGTAATGATTTAAAATCGGCAGCAGCATCTTTAGAGACAAAGATTTCAACGCCGTATCGTAAAAACAAAGTTTATGAGAATTGTAAAGTGTACTCGGAAACAGGAGAACTTATGTTTCGTTGTAATAGGTATTTAATATTAGAATCGTTGTAATTATCGATTAAAAAAAATTTTTTAACGATTCTCTCTATTTGAAATATTGGGTAAAGAAAAAAATGTTTATGGTATTTAACACGTAATTTAGCCAAACAATTATCTAGTGATTCTATACAACTTACCTTTACACCTAAGGGATTAGGTTATGCTCAAAAAAAACAAAATGTAGTGGAAGGAAAAGAACAAGATGATAGTGACGGTGATGATGGTGATGACGGTGAAGGTGATGACGGCTTGAATGATTATTATCTTGAGGATAAATTAGATCGTTGTGTTTGTTGTGCTCAAACCGAAAAGTTAACTTTACACCATGTAGGTAGGCAGTAACAACATTCTTTATATTATTAATGATATTATGATTAATATTAATAACAGTTCCAGATATGTACCGTAAACGAATGCCTGAAGTAATCAAATCACATTCGGTAAATAATCATTAAAATATTATCATCGTGTCCCTTTCATTAATATTTAACTAATTTTGAGGGTGTGTTAATTTAAAGAGTCACGATGTTGTTTTATTGTGTTTTGGATGTCATTCTTCTTATGAAAAACATGTAACACAATATAAAAAACAAATCGTCAAAGAATTTAATGCACCACCTTTAGAGGTTGATTCTAAAGATAGGATTAGACTTGAAGAAAATATCAAAGTTAAAAAAGCTGCAAATACATTATTAAAAAGATTAAAAGCAATTTCTCACCAAACTGAAACTTCAACAAATGCCAATTTTCTTACTAAAAGGTTTTCTTTTATACCAAAGGAACGAGTAGAGCAATTGGAACAAATCGTTTTAGATTGGTATTATGATCAGAATCAAAACAATAATACTTCAGCTTTAATAAATCAAAAAAGTACGAACCAAAATTCACCAATATCAATATCAATTCTTGAAGAAGCAATTTCATTACCAATATATCATCATGATGACCAAAAAATGTTGGATCATGCGCAATTTGTGATAAATGAGTTATTAAAAGAATATTATTATGTATCAATGAATGATGATGGTAAAGAGGAAGAAATAATTTTTGATGAAACAAAACATGACGATGATGATATTGAATCAAAAAAAAGGATTCGTTGGTCACGTATAGAAATTTTTATAAAAAATTGGCGGCAACACTTTTTGGATTATGCAAATCCAAAATATTTATCTAAAAATTGGAAAGTAAATAATAAAATTTACAATTTTTTATAAAGTTTCTTCCCCGTTAATAATTATTTGGTTAATATATATATATTTATATATATTTACCTAGTAATTAATTAATCAATTAATCAATTAATTTAATCATACAATAGTAATATTACATAAAAATACATATTAGTTTCCCAAACAAATTGAAAATAATGTAAAAAATCGTGTATATAAATATATAATAATGATTAATAATAAACAGTCCTTATCAACAACCTTTAAAAAAAATTTTCCCAAATTGTACATGTAAGTAATTATTTTTTATGTCACTCCTAACCTAAATTCAGCATTTGTTTTTTGATGTGAAGCCATCTTTGCCTTTGATATATTATTGTTGTTGTTTAATGATTCTTTTGATGATGACCCTTCATTCCTTATTGATATGGAAATGATATTATTATTTGATGCAGGCAAAGAAGAATTAGAGTTGTTAATTTCAATGTTGTTATTATTATTATTATTATTATTATTATTATTATTATCATCATTATTATTACTATTATCATCGTTATCACTATTGTTATTTTCGTTGTTATTTTTGCTATTACTTGAATTTATTTCATTGAAAGGATGATCAATGGTACATTTATGAGGTATTGTTTTACGTAGATGTGAAATCTGACTTGTAGATGTTGAACATAGACTTAATTTTAAGTAAGTTAAATTTGGAAGTGTATGCCTTAAATCCATTAGATAATATAATTCTTGTGAATACATCAACTACAACCCCCAAAAAATACAATAATACAAAATGTGATTAATTAATAAATTAAATTAATGATTTCATACATATATGCGTATGTCTATTAAACAAACATACTTACTTGTTCAATGTTTTTATTAAGTAAATAAACAGCATATTCAAATCCATTGCGGTCAACTCCTTTTGAATACAAAGGATATCTAATTAACAAAAAATGAATAAAATAATAGCAATAACAACAATAACAATCATAAATAAAAATTATTATATCAATAACACAGAAAAAAAAGATAAAACAAATTAATTGATTATCGATAATTACGGTGCTCCAAGTTGATTGCTAGAGAAACAACAAAATTCTTTCCAGTGGCAAAAGTTCGATATGAACCAATTGAAAAACCAAATCAATGGTATTATGGGAGTCTCATGTGATACATAATCCCTGAGAGAGTATATGATATGTGATATATATAGATATACACACAATATTTTTTTTTTAATTATGCTAAATACATTTTTCTTTTTTGTTTATAAATACTTACATCTCTTTATTTGGAAAAATGTAAGAAATATTCAAACAATCAACTTGGAGCAATTTTACTTACTGTCTTGAAGTAATAAGAGAAACTGTTATTGGATCCAAAATTGTGGATCTTGATGACATAGGAGTTATTGGAAATCTTAATGGAGTATCTAGGTAATATGCTAACATTTGAACAAAATGTGCAGCAAATCCAAGTGCTGTAGCAATTTTTTCTTCATCACAACCTAATTCATTAGATTATTAATAATCATTAACATTAAATATATACTTATATACTTATACATCAATTTATATAACTAATTATTTAGTTACCATCAAATACAGAATTTGGAAGTAGTATACCAAATATTTTGTATGAGAATGGCGATATTTCTGGAGCCTAAAAAACCAAAACCAAAATCAATTGAAATCCATATGTGTATATACATATGTATGTATGTATGTATGTAAATATGTAATGATAAATGTTTATTACATGTTCCAAAGGATATATGTTAGACAAATCAGAAATCAATTCTCGTCGACGAGCAAATAATTGCGTAGAGGTTTCAAATAAAGCTTCGCTAATAAGATCAACCCGATTCAATACGACCTTCTATATAAAAAGCAAAAACATAATTTTCAAACACCAATCTCAAATAAAATTATAACAAAACCAACCGATCTCGTTCCAATATCTTGTAGCTTTCCTCCAAATATTCATTTTCATTCTGATATCGCTTCTTGGCATCCTCTAAAGCAACTCTACGTGAACGAATATTATCACGTAATGACGCTATACGTTTATAATCTTTTTACATTATGAATCAAATAAGCAAATAATAATGCATAAACGTAAATATTTTATATTTATAGATAAGTAGTGTACCATTGTCTAATTCCTTTTTTTGATTTTCAATTTCTTTTTGATAACTACTAAGTCGTAAGGCACTTGAACCTTTCTCTCTTTGCTATACCAATATTAATAATCATTAGAATGTGAAATTTTCAATTTCTGTTACAATTATAATTAAAGAAAAACTTATTATTACTAGGACAAATTTATTTTTTTCTTTTTCCAAAATATCTCCAATATTTGCCATTACTTCATCCCGTGACCTTTGCATATCAATTAAACAATTTTCTATATTGTTTAAGCTTTACTTTTAGAAAATTTTTAAAAAATGTTAATAGATGAAAATAAAAAATAAACTTTATATAAATTTTATAAACTAACCGCATTATGGAATTGTATGTGTAAGATCGTTTCGTCTAATAATTATATGTTACATCATTAATATCTTTTTTCCATGAAATAACAAAATTTGTATAACATTTATATTACCATTTGAGGTGATGACAAAGTATTACTTTGATTACTTTGACTTGAGTGTCGAACAATCTCCATTTGTCATGGCGTGATTTGATTAAACAAAGCAAATTTTTTATTTTTTATTTTTCGTTTTTTTTGTTATTTTTTTTAATTAAAAAAAAAAAAAATATATATTTATTGTTGCTTATGTATGTATAAAATAATAATTTGTAATAAACCAAAAGATGTGTGTATCGTAGTACTAAAACGTCATGATATATATATACAAAAGTCACCACCACTACCACCGGAGAGACCACCTACCTCGGCTACACGAATCCCAACCCAGAACCCCCATGATTGGTAGAAAATAAGGAAATCTTATCTTAAAAAACCTTTTTGTGTAACCAAAGAGTTTTCCCATTCAGGTAACACAAAATTAAACCCATGCAATTGTTGATTGGTCAATCAAAATCGTGAATTTGATAAACGTAAAATAAATGTTGGTTTGATTCATTTTGTCAACAATCATTTCACCAACAATTGCTTCATTAACGAATTTAAGAAATTGGAAGCAATCATGCAAAAACCTTTAAAATAGTCTAATAAATTAATAATTAATTGTATACTCGAAAATGTATTTAAAGGGTTGGTTTTCAACTGGTTGAAGAATAACTCTCTTCCTAACTCTTCTCTTTGACCATATCTCTCGATATAATCAAAATAACCTTAATATAATGAATTTCAACAAAATGGTTGTAAACACAATCAATTTAAGATAAATGATTAAGACAAAACATGAATGATGTATGAAAAAATCAAACAATAAAAACAAAATTTACAACCCAAAAAAAATTTTTAATGATATTTTGTAGAAGGTGATGAGATATTATTTTATTGTATGTTTGAACTTTCTTAATTCCTTATAATTAAAAAGCTATTCAGTTGATAATTGAATCAAATACTTGATATATAATTTCTTTATAAAAAGAGGTTGAATTATGTACATTTTATTGTTGAATTAGAATTATCTTTAGCTAATAAAACATATATAGTAATAGAAAAGTATAATAAAATTGAAAAAAGTCAAAATCTTGTAAATAAATGGAAGGACACATAGTTTTAGAGAGAATTTGTCTTTTGAAAATAAAGGGCATCATCAACACCTTTCTTGTCATCACTATAAAAAATTAATTGGATGGACTTGTTCTTTTCAAAATTGTTGTGTGTTACAAGGAACATGATTTGAAATTTAAGAAATGTTGAGTAAAAACAAATTGATTTCATCAGCAGTATTATTTAAAAGAACATATGACCACTGTTATAAAAGATCTTTTCATCAGGTTTATTTTTTTATTTTTATTTTTTTGGAATTGATGTACAAATTATTTATCTGTCCATACACAATTTTCAAAATCTTTTAAAAAGAGCTTTTCTAACAAAATGAAAATAATCCCCATTCCAGGTAAATATCAATAAAATTTTTTGATAAAAATCATTTTTACCATATATGTTTGATGGATATTAAATTATTTTTTAGTATTGGATGATAACTATTCTTATTTGGTTATTGATGAGAAGACAAA